CCCCAAAACCCCAAAACCCCAAAACCCCAAAACCCCAAAACCCCAAAACCCCTTATCAATATCTATGATTGAGAATATTAATTTATCGACAACACGTTATGGAAGACTCCAAAATTGATGAAAGTACTATGCATATTCACAATGAAGATGCCAATCTCCTAAAGCTCAATAATTTTGAAGAAGTACCGTCCCAATCTTTACCACTATTTTAGAAAGTCAAGCATCTCCCTTCTGATGATAGGCCAAACACAGGTGAGGAATGGGAGGAAGAGAAGGACAAAATTTGTAAGCTTCTAACTGAAGCTGTTAAATAAAGTCTAACTAGGACTTATAGCACCCTTGAAGATAACACATCATACCTACAAAGACCATAAAAGAAATAGCTTTTACACCAGACCTGTAAAATTAATGAACTCAAGTAGGTTAATAAAAAGAAGGCTTAAGGATGCACGAACCAATTCCTTAAGTAATCTCCACTCTATAAAGTCCACTGATGATATAATGAGGAAGAAGAACAATAGGAAGAACCCCAGCTCTCATATCCAAAGAGTGTTTGGCCCAAGGTTTAAATTCTCTGAGAAATTGCTGATTTCAAAAATGGACAACATGATGATTAAATAAGTCTTTATTGGAGATTTTTAAACTTAAAACTCTTACCAGGGAGAACCTCAAGTATATCCTCAGAGAAGGAGCTGATACCAACAATATATTAAGGATTACAGACGAATGCTTTGAGAAAATGGTGGACGTACTAAACATCCCCCTCGATTCCGACTCTGAAGACACTGATGACGCAGTAGAAGTAATTCAGAACTTTGATGGTAATGAAGAATCAAGTAAGGATGGAGAGCCATTAAAGAATCAAGCCTCTCAGAAAAACTCGGATCAAATGAGTTTAGGCCCCCAAGGGGAGAAAAGTGTTACCAATACATCAGTATATGAAATCACACATAGACATAATAAGCTAATCCAAGGTGAGAGTGTGTTTTTAACTTATAGCAAAGGGGTGTCTTCAAAAATTGATCAGCCTTGAAAAATCTGAAATGACTGAGAAATCAAAAACAAAATCAAAGAAGCACAAGGATAATTGCATATTACCAGGAAATCCAGACGATAACTTTAAGAGTTTAAATGTAGCAAACCAAGATTGCTTAAAACTCAAATTTAAGTATCTGGTTGAAGACATCTTGAAATAAAAGAACAAATATTCATAAAAATCAAGATCAATTTATAGACCCAAGAGATGGCACTGTTGTAGAGTCTGAGTTGGAAGGAGATATTACAGATTATGTTAAAGCATCAGCTGGGGATTGATCTGACACTTTTAACTGACTTGTAGAAGCTAAAAAGCCTTATTACAAGTTATACACCATCCTTACAATAATAGCACTGATCTCGTTCTTCATCATGGCAGCTATCTCTTCGTCCTATTCTTATTCTGATTTTATTGGTACATGGGTGGTTATTAGTCGAGGATCTGCATCATCAATTCTTGGACTTACAGGGATCCTCATGCTGTTAGTTTCTTATGATCTTTTGACATATATTCGTTCAAAATGCAAAGGGAGGTGACAGCTTTGGCTAAACCACAACATTCTACTACATAGATTTTGAGGTTATTTAATCACTTTCTTTAGCATTGTCCATGTGGTGGGGCATCTATCTGGGAGCATTAAGAAATTCTCTGAAGCAAAAGATATCGATAATGTTAATGAAGTGACTCTTAACCATAATTTTGATGGTAAATAAAACCTATGCTGAATTACTATTTCTCACTCTCCCTGGAATCACTGGAATTTTGCTCATCATTATAATAATAGCTATTGCTATTACATCAACAAGTTGGTTCAGAGAGAGATACTTTCAGACCTTTGCTTTGATTCATGTTGCTGGGTTCCCTTTGTTCCTTGGACTCATAATTCTTCATGGCTGAGAAGGATGGTTCAACTGGGGATTTCCCCTTGGAGCCATATTCCTCGCTCCTCCAATTATCATCTCAACTATCCAGTTTATTCAAAGACTGAGGACAATAAACAAGTTCAAGTTTAGAATTGGAGATGTAAATATCTCCCAAAATAAGAGATACATAATGATCTTTTTCATCAAGTAAGACTTTCCAATCATATGTAGGCCTCGAGGATTCACTATCAAGAAAGGCCAGTATGTATTCATAAATATTCCTCAAGTGAGTTGTTCCCAATGGCATCCTTTCACAGTGGCTTCCTGCCCAGACTCGAAGTTTATTACAGTGATGATGAAGAGAGCAGGAGACTGGACTGGCAAGCTCATTGATATCTTGTTCGAGCAGAAGAAAGCTATGATGAGAATGAGTGAGCTCGATATCGATACATATGAAGAAAAAGATGTATTCAATGTTCTACATGACATTTACGACGAAATAAAAGTTAAAGAAATGATGAATATTAATAAAAGTAAGCTCTTTTAGTAACCTTCTAGGATACTTTCTTTATGCTAACATTAGCCGGCCTATCACAAGCGCGTGAGAAGCATATGATAATAAGAATGTTGTCCTTGTTGGAGCAGGAAGTGGAATAGCTCCATTCTTGCCACTTGTGGATGAAATTATCAGATTCGATCAAGGGAAATCTCATTCCTATGATTTCAAATCTGCTACATTGGTTTTTATAGCAAGGGAGGGAGAACAAGTTTCATGGATTTCTAACTACATCTTACATCTTCTCTCTACTGATATCGTCACCTCCTTCTTTAATATTAAAATATATATTACTTTAAAAAGGAATTCCGAGACAGTTCCTTCTTTCTTATTTTGGCGCGCTTTTCTATTAATCTGTAAGAATAATATTGATATGAACTTTGAAGAAGACAAAGAAAATGAAAATGAAGATAATAATTCAATTTCTTGTCGCCTCGAAGAGCTCAAGGGTCCTAGGAACAACCTTGACAGCGAGAATCTTCAAACAATATCTTCGGATACTTCTCCAATATCTATAAAATTCGGTCGGCCAAATTTCACAAAAATATGAAAAGAGCTGATTGCCAAAAATGAGCTAAAGTATGATGTCTACGCTTGAGTGCCAAAAGTGCTGGCGAACCACCTGCATTACGTGTTCGCAAAAATGAAGAAGGAATCAGGGGTAGTATTTAACCTAATCCTTGAGTCATTCTACTAAACTTTTCAATGACCTCCAGAGTGTGCGGGGTTTTGGGGTTTTGGGGTTTTGGGGTTTTGGGG